CGCTCACTCTCCCCAATAACTGCCTATATTCTGTTAATTTTGCTAGTGCTTTCAAATTCAAAATTTGTTAATGTATCACAAACATCGAGTATAAAGACTGCAAGTTTACGGTTTTTTCTTTTTGCTGTTCATTTCTTAGAATGCTTGAGACGGAAATAATTATTGTTAATAATTGTAATATTAACTATAAGTCTTACTATTGGGTTAGAAAGAAAGTCTTGCAACTCTTTCTAAAATTATTTATAAAAATTTTCAAAGGAATGATTGGCGGAGCTTTGCATTTGTATATGCTGGAATGTTCTCGAAGCTTCTGCCATCGGGGTATATAAGGCGGCTTCTGCCATTAGTTGGCAGCCATGGCTCCGATCGAACAAGCAACTCTTCGCCCCATTGTCTACTACGAGTTCCTCCAAGGACACTCTGCGAGAGACGCCGCGGACAACGTCTGCGCTGCATTCGAGAGCAACGTCGTCCACTATTCCACGGTGTCTCGATGGTTGAAACGCTTCGAATCTGGCGACACGACCTTCGGAGATTGACCACGCTCAGGACGTCCATCTACAGTCGATGACGAAACCCTGCGGAACGCCCTCGACGCGAAGCCGAACGCCACCACTCGCGAATCGGCGACTACACTTGGAGTCACCCGTATGGCCATCGGCAACCATCTGAACGACCTCGGCTATCGGAAGGTTTACTCGACATGGGTCCCTCATCGGCTCGGCGACTCTGACAAAGCAAGCCGNCGGTTCAGCTTCATTTGACTTGAGTTTGGCCACATAGTTGGAAGGAAGGAATCCTTGTTTATTGGTGGCCTTGCTCCTAGCATACCACCAGTCACCCTGGGTGTCAATGATGACCTCCAAGTGGTCTCCTTTCTTGAAACTAAGGTCTTCATTAGTACGTGCCTCATAGTCATACAATGCCACAAACACATTCGCAGTTTGATTGGGAAAATCTTGTTCCTGAGTTGACATTGGAGGAAGGCTAGGTTCCTTGCTTCCTTCCTCCATTTGCTGTTGACTGGGGAGGAAGTAGGAGAAGTAGGAGAAGGGGAGGAAGTACATTGTTGGTTTGGAAATTTGGGGTAGAATATGAGCTGTATATGATAGAACATTGCCTAAATTTATGCATTTGGGCACAGATGTTCTTCAAATTACGCGATGATACCCTACGATAATTGTGAAATACTGGAATTAGTAATTTTCCGACCAAGGGGCAACTTTTAATTACGTCATGTAATAATCCTTACGGAACTTCCAAATACAGGTGTATGCATAGGATTGTACAGTACTGAATTTAGCCATGTTTGGAAACAGTTCAGTCCCTATCATGTTTTGGCCATTTTGAACAAATATGGAACTACATACGGTTCATATGCAGACCTTAGACAGAGATATATGGTGCTACGTTTGCAATGTTTATGACACTAACATTAACTATATGGGAAAGATACTATATCATATTTAGAATACATTTGGAAACTCTTCTTTAAATGGAATGTCCTTGGATGCCTACGCATGCACGTTGAGGCCTTCCATATAGCCTGACACCTAGCAGTTTGTTCAATAAATATAAAGTTCTCACAATATAATCGAGGTCGCGCTCATCCCACCGCTGTCTCTCGATTCTCTAAATGCTAATGAATGGTTCTGCAGAAGGTTTCACACCCTCAACTCATTAATTTCCCACGTACGAACCGAAGGAATGAAGTCGTTTTAATGGATGCATATGTTGAGAGACGTAACCTAGCCTAAGGAGACTTCAGGTAATTCTTGCTCAGTGCATAGAGGAAGTGAGGTTCCCCTTGTCAGGTGAGTCACAAAAGCACCTGTGAAAGTTTCGATGTTGAGTGACTCTACCTCTGAGCCTCTGCCTCAATCTGCCATTAATAATGCAAGCGGGGGCCAACTACTTACTATATTGCAAATTAAGAACTGTATAAGGGACCTGTATATTAAGAATGATCAAAACACACCACATTGTTATATGTGCCATATACATTCCAACTAAGTACCATATAAGGGGCTTATATATGAACCATATATAGCTCCATATTCATTAATAATGGCCAAAACATTATATGAACTGAACGGCTTTCAAATACAGTCTCCCATATATCATTTTTATTTGTACCATGTACATTCCGAGCAAAGCACCCCTGTATGACCATATTTGATATCGCGCATGAAATCTGAATATGGAGTTCCCGTAAGGGAACTTATCTTAGAAATACAATATTTACATCTGTCCTATTATTGTTAATCTCAGTTAATTTAATAAAATTTTCTCCCTTCGTTTATGCTTGCCGCTCACTCTCCCCAATAACTGCCTATATTCTGTTAATTTTGCTAGTGCTTTCAAATTCAAAATTTGTTAATGTATCACAAACATCGAGTATAAAGACTGCAAGTTTACGGTTTTTTCTTTTTGCTGTTCATTTCTTAGAATGCTTGAGACGGAAATAATTATTGTTAATAATTGTAATATTAACTATAAGTCTTACTATTGGGTTAGAAAGAAAGTCTTGCAACTCTTTCTAAAATTATTTATAAAAATTTTCAAAGGAATGATTGGCGGAGCTTTGCATTTGTATATGCTGGAATGTTCTCGAAGCTTCTGCCATCGGGGTATATAAGGCGGCTTCTGCCATTAGTTGGCAGCCATGGCTCCGATCGAACAAGCAACTCTTCGCCCCATTGTCTACTACGTGTTCCTCCAAGGACACTCTGCGAGAGACGCCGCGGACAACATCTGCGCTGCATTCGAGAGCAACGTCGTCCACTATTCCACGGTGTCTCGATGGTTGAAACGCTTGGAATCTGGCGACACGACCTTCGGAGATCGACCACGCTCAGGACGTCCATCTACAGTCGATGACAAAACCCTGCGGAACGCCCTCGACGCGAAGCCGAACGCCACCACTCGCGAATCGGCGACTACACTTGGAGTCACCCGTATGGCCATCGGCAACCATCTGAACGACCTCGGCTATCGGAAGGTT